TATTAATTATAAATCATATTATTTAATTAATATTTAATCAGAAGTTAATTGGAATTAATTTTGAGATTAAAAGAATTAATTAAAAGTGTAGGGGTTGTTTGACAATTTATTGATAGTTGAGGAAAAAGGCTCTAGAACCTCCCTAGAAAGGTTTGGATGAAAACTTCTAGGAAGTCCCTAGAATTTTCGTCCAAGGGGTCTTGGATAGGGATTCTTGGGCTGCTTGGTCCTTAAGCTAAGGAACTAGAGTTTCCCCCTTAAAACCCTAGCTTTGGCTGTAAGCTACCTCACTATATAAAGAGCCTAACCCCTTCACAATTTCTACCACGTAGAAACCCTAGAAGGATAGCCAAAAATCTCAAGCTCCCCCTCCTCTCTCTCCTCACTTATCTTTTTGCTAAGTTTTAGTGTGATCTACTAGAGGCGTAACACTTGTGACGCTTGCTCTCAAGGTTCAAGAAGACTTAGATTTTCATTGTTATTACTACATAACAGTCAAAGGTATGTTTACTAACCCTAGTAATGATTTTCAAAAATAATATAGACCTCCTAGGTTTTTCCATTTGATGTTCAATAGTTGTATGTTCAATTAGAGAAAACATAGATCCAATAATTAGGGTTGCATGCACACATAGGTTTTTTTTTTGTTATGCTCAAAACCCATCAGAAGGGTTGTTAGTCGAACAGGTTTGATAGGACACATTAATTGTCATTAATAAGTATAATGAATTATAAAAAGTAACTATTTTTTTATATAATTCCCAATCTTAGTTACTTTAGAAAAAACGTGAATTTGTATGCTAACCCATGAAATTGCACATTGCACTTTATAAGTCGTTAGTACAACGTGTGTGGTTAACCGACACACTAATAGGGAATAATAAATAGTGGCTATTGGTGTCTCAAAAATTATCATTGATTAATGGAGCGCTTGTAGTTAACTGGTACATTAAAATGAGATGATAAAGCACATCGAAAGTACCAAGTTAATTTGCATGGTTATTCACATCTTACTTGTGATCCTCAGTATCTCAGTCACAAATGGAAGAGCATAATCGAGATTAAACATGCCATTGAAGAGTTTCAATAAATCTCAATAGATCAAGGAATTTTATTATAAACCTAATTTGTTCAAATTTCATTTTCTTGTGGTGAAATTAGTAAATCGTCATTTACCTACGTTTATATAATTTACAATTAGATTACGACATCCATTTTGTAAGTTGTGAATTATTTAGTTGGATCCTAGCCTTGATATTTCATTTTGGGTGTTATTTTGAGGATTATTCTTATCTAACTAAAAATTATCTTTCTTTTATAGATGTCTACTCCAACCGATGCTTCTGGGTCCTCTTCGTCGTCCTCCAACAAAAACTTCTCCTTGTTGAACATCTGCTCTAAGGTGCAATTGGATGGCACCAACTACAATGATTGGATGCACAACATAAAAATGGACCTTCATTTCGAGGACAAGGATTATGTCCTTGAAAGACCATTGGATGAGATCGACAAAAAAAGGTCATTCCTGAAGAAATGCTCACCTACAAAAATCCCTACAATGATGCGACAAAAGTTGCTTGCATCATGGTGGCCACAATGACTCTAGAATTGCAGAGATACTATGAGTATTACTAGTCGTACGAGATGAACAAGGACCTTATGTAGAAATACCATACATAAGCTCATCAGGAAATATGAGCTGGTAAAGTCCATTATAGCTAGCAAGATGAAAGAGGGAGAGTCTATTAGCAGCCACGCTCAGAGAATGCAACGATACGTGGACAAGCTTTTCAAGATGAATGTGAATTTTGATGAAGAGTTGACAATCAACATAATGTTGAACTCTCTACCAAGTTGTTATGATTAGTTCATATTGAGCTATCATTTGAACAATAATGAAACTACTTTGTCCTAATTGCACAGCCTATTGCGAATAGCTAAAGCAGGAATGAACGGAAAAGGTGTTGCCTCCACTCTTGCTAGTGCTCCCGTTATGTCCATTGGTTAAGGGAAAGGGAAAAAGAGGAAAGGTCCTCCCAAGAAAAACTGGAAGGGAAAGTGCCAAGTTGGTTCGTCAAGCAATGGACCCAAAGGAAAACCCAGTTCTGATGCTCCCCTATCTCTGATCCCAAATAGGTCACTTGCTTCTACTGCAATGACAAGGGTCACTGGAAACTAAGCTGCCCAAAATACTTGGAAGATATCATGGATGGCAAGGTGAAAGCAACCTCAACTGGTATTTACATTATCTTATCTAATAACTCATCATATTCTTGTTCCTCGGTCTGTGATACAGGATATGGATTTCACATTTTTTCTGATTTGCAGGGGCTAAAAAGAAGTGAGGATGTGGAGCACGAAAGGATGAACTTAATCATGGGGAATAGGAAATCTTCACATGTCACCAAGATTGGAGTTTATGACTTAGTGCTTAGTAGTGGGTTAGGATTAGATTTAATAAATTGTTGCTACTCGTCAGAAATGACATGAACTATTATTTCCTTTCATGCATTATTTAAACAAGGTTTTAGATATTCTTTTAATGATGAGAATGGTTCTATTTCTTCTTATAAAAACGGTGTTTATTTTTTATTTTGAAGTTTTATCTTGTGACGGTGTGTATGAAACTATGATGATTGTAGACAATTTAGGTAATAATGTTTTTCAAATTGATTTGTCTAATGGTATAGACAAAGCATGCTTGTGGTATTGTCCTCTTGGACACATTAAAAAGAAACGCATCGCCCAAAAGATGGAGTGTTGGACTCATTTGACATAGTTTTAGATGATACATGTGAATCTTGTCTTTTGGGTATGATGAAAAAGTCACCTTTTACTGTTTCTTGTAAAAGAGGTGAAAAATGTTAGATCTCATACACATAGATGTGTGTGGGCCCTTCAGATCCACCACAAGGGTTGCTAATCGATTCTATGTGACTTTTACTGATGATTAAAGAAGATATGGCTACATCTACTTAATCAATCATAATTTAGAACCTTTTGAAAATTTCAAAGAGTTTAAACACGAAGTTGAGAATCAATTGGTCAGGAAGATAACGAAACTTAGATCTGATAGAGGCGATGAGTATCTTAGTATCGAGTTCCATGGCTACCTCAAGGAATGTGGAATAGTTTTACAATTGATACCTCCTAGGACACCACAACCTAATGGTGTGGCTGAGAGGCAATCGAACCTTGTTGGACATGGTTCATTCCATGATGAGTCGAGCTTCTCTTCCAGTTTCACTTTGGTGGCATGCCTTAGAGACTGCCACCCACATTCTTAATCTTGTCCCAACTAAGAAGGTTGCCAACACACCTCACGAGATATGGACAGGGAAGGTTCCCTCATTAGAACATATCAAGGTTTGGGGTTGTGAAACTTTCATTAGAAGAGAGACTCACAAAAAGCTTGAACATCAAAGTGAAAGATGTATTTTCATCAGCTATCCATAGAAGTCCTTTGGATATTTGTTCTATAGACATAGTGAGAATGTGGTCTTTTTAGCATGAATAGGAGTCTCTCGCAAGAGAGAGCTTATATGAAAAGAGGACAGGATTACAATTGATCTTGAAGAAATTTAAGTGTCAAATGATGAAGGAACCTCTGAAGTCGTTAGGGCTCAACCTGAGGAAGAAATTCCAGTTTAACCGATTGATGAATCATTTCCTCTTAGGCGTTCCAGTAGAGTTAGAATACCACCTGAGTTCTATGGTTTTCATATTACTACAGATGGTGATATGTTTATCAGTGATAGTACACTTGTAAAATTTGGATGAACCTGCTAACTACAAGGAAGAAATGGCAGGATCTGAATAAGCCAGATGGCAAGATGCAATGAACAACGAGATCAAGTCCATGTATGACAACCAGGTTTGCATTGGTTGAAAATGTATCGGGTTGTAAGATAGTTGGGTGCAAATGGATCTTCAAGAAGAAGATCCACATGGATGGAAAGGCACACACTTTCAAGGATCGAGTGGTTGTGAAGGCCTTTACTCAAACCTAGGGATGAGCATAGGCGGGTACCTGCCCTAATTATCTGGAACCATAACTGAAATTAGAACGGGCGGTTCCTAAAATGTTGGAACCAAAACTGATGGGTAGTGGTTCCAATACCGGGTACCCGGTTCGTTAAATATGTTGAATTTTTAAAATTTATAAAAATACATCTATTGTAAACTTACAAGTTATCGATAACATCAATATGTAATTCACTATGTATTAAACATGAAGAAAAAATAAGTGAATGTTCCTTAAAACCTTTAAAGGCTCAAAACAAATTACTTAAAATTTATAATTTTAAATAATGTGATTATGATATATGAATGCTTGAATGCTCATTCAAAAGCTTTGAAAATCGTTGTTGATATTTTACTGATGATATCTGAACCGCCTAATTGCTCATTGCAATCAAGAATTAGATAGTTATATACTATTAATACATTAGCTAGGAAATAGCATTAAGCAATACTAACGTAGGCATGGGAAATCATGAAAATAAATACATGGCAAGATTTCCATACATGAGATGATAACTAGAATCAAGTATAACATATTTACCTTTTATTTAGATTTAATATGATGATGGACTCATGGTTTATATATATATATATATATATATATATATATATATATATATATATATATATATATATATAGGGAATTTGACTTATTAAGGTAATTAAGTATTTCAAATGTTCACATATGGGTAATATTGTTTTTTTTTGTACTCATTTACCCAACTAACTTGTTTCAGCCGTTCAAAAATAACCAACATTACCGGCTATTACCTGTTTTAGCCGGTAACATTGATTTAGCTCGGTTTAAAACATTACGTGGAATCTTACGTGGCCATTACACCCCTTTCTCATTTAATTAGGGTTCGTCATCGTCAGCTAACACACCTCGATTACCTTCTTCTGTGAGAAATCAATCGATACATCAAATCGACGATTAGGTCTTGGAATTGAAGTTGGAATTGAAGTCGACTGCTAGCATGGCATCCTCATCTACAGGTATGTATGTATCTGTAGATTTTCATTACAATGGATTCTTTTCGCCAAACCCATTGGTGTACTTAGACCCCGTAAAAACAAATGTACGTGATGTGGATTTTGGGGGATTTACGTATAAAGAGTTTCTTTTGTGGCTTACGAAATTAACAAATGGAGAATGTGATAATGTCTACTACTGTATGAGAAAGGAAAGCTTGTGTGAGGGTATTAGAAGAATCGACAGTGATGCTGATTATTGGGAGTTTGTGGAGACTGTTTATAGTCTGGAGAGTGATAGTCTTGAGAGTGAGTTAGATGTGTACATTGACCACCGAAATGAACCAATTCTTGATTGGGCTGATAACGAGTTCTTAGAAGATGGTAAAGGGTATGAGTTGGATGAGTTGGATGAAGAGGATGACAAGGATTCTGAAGTTTCAATGACAATGGAATATGAACATGAATGGGATGATGAAGATGAACATACTTTTGATAAAACTGTTAGAGACCCATTCTTGGACAAACTTTCAGGGCATATTAGTGATGATGATGAAGAGGAAGCAAACAATGGGAAACTTAAGGATGTTGTGTTCCCTGTCCATAATGAGAATCAAGAATGGGAGCAAATGGTGCCAGTTTTGGGTATGAAGTTTTCTAATCCATTGGAATTGAAGTTGTGTATCACCAACTATGCAGTCAAAAATGGATATGATTTATGGTATGAGAAAAGTGATCATGAAAGGTTATTGGTAAAATGTTGTAAAGGTAAGACAAATAAACAGGGTAAAGGTTGTCCTTTTAGATTATGGGCAACCTGGATGAGCAGTGAAAAATCATTCCAGATTAAATCTCTGAATGATATGCATAATTGTGCAAGAGTGTTCAAATTTGGGTCCATTGTTACCTATAAATGGATAGCAAAGCATTTCATGAATCATATACTTCAGAAACCAAAGATGAGTATAAGGAAGTTGAAAGCTAAAGTCAGCAAGAAATTTAATTTGATTGCAAGTGTTGGTCAATGCAGAAATGCAAGGAAGTATGCATTTCAGGAGATAGAGGGTACTTTGAAAGAGCATTATGCAAAAACATGGAGCTATGGAGAAGAGATAAGAAGGACTAACCCTGGATCAACAGTGAAGATGGATGTAGATGTCATGCCTGATGGAACCACATATTTCTCAAAGTTTTATGTATGTTTCAAGGGATTGAAGGATGGATGGATTGAAGGTTGTAGGAGGGTAATTGGACTAGATGGTTGCTTCCTAAAGGGCATATGCAGAGGTCAGTTGCTCTTGCTATAGGTAGAGATGCAAATAACCATATATATCCCATTGCTTGGGCTGTTGTATCAGTGGAAAGTAAAGAAACATGGAAGTGGTTTATTGACCTTCTAATTGAGGACCTTGGAATGGGAGTTGGGCATGGACTAACCTTGATATCAGACCAACACAAAGTAATCAATTTTTATTATTTTCATCTTTATTTTAGCTTATGTTATGTTTTTGTTGTTTAAATTTTGTGTCTATTGCTAACAAAGGATTACTTGAGGCTGTGAAGGAAAGGGTCCCAGCAGCAGAGCATAGGAAATGTGCTAGGCACGTATGTGCTAACTTCCTGAAAAGGTTTAAGGGCCAAGTGTTTAGAAAGCTTTTCTGGTATGCTGCTGCAGCTACTACCCCTGCAAAATTTGAACAACACATGAATGAAATCAAGAAATTAGAGCCACTAGCTTATGACCATTTGATGGAAAGGGGCCCTAAAACTTGGAGTAAAGCATTTTTTAGACTGATAGGGCTTGTGATGCATATGAAAATGGTATCTCTGAGAGTTTCAACTCTGTTATTGAAGTTGCTAGGAAAAGACCACTAATCACCATGTTAGAAGAAATTCGAATTTATGTGATGGAGAGGCTTTATAGACAGAAGATTAAGGGGCAATCTTGGGATTTAACCATATGTCCTACCATTAGGCTGAAGTTGTCCAAGCTTAAGGATCTTCAAAGGTAAGTGCTTAAAACTGTTTGTCCTTATATATGTTTGTCTTTAAACATGTTTGTCCTTATATATGTTTGTCTTTAAACATGTGTATATGGACAGGTTTTGGAAAGTAATACCATCTGGTTATCAACAGTATGAAGTCAGACTTGGGTATGATGCATATGTTGTGGATATTGGTAGTAGGACATGTGCCTGCAGAACTTGGCAGTTAACAGGTTACCCTTGTGTGCATGGGTATGCTTGCATTGCAAGCCTCAACAGGGATGTAGAGGAGTATGTGTCACCATGGTTTACCACATCAATGTACCTAAACTGTTACAGGAATACCATTAACCCACTAAATGGTAGTGACATGTGGCCTCATGTAGACTACATCAGCCCATTGCCCCCCAAAAGGAGAAGGCTACCAGGAAGACCATCAACAAAAAGGAAAAGGGATCAGATTGAGAGGGAAAACCAAGGAAAAAAGCATTCAATCACAAAAAGAGGTAGTGTGATGAAATGCAGCATATGTAGGGAAAGTGGGCATAATAGAACAACCTGTCCTCAGAAACCAATTGGGGAATCATCAAATGCAAGTTCAAAGAAAAAGAAATCCAAGAAAGCTGGTATGTTTGATATATTTATTTGTATATAACTTGTATAACTTAACATATTGGGCATAACTTAACTTTTCAAGTAATACAAAACAGATAAAGTGAAGGTTGTATTGGCACATGAAGTTGATATTGACAGTGACAGTGAAGTTGAAATAGAACCTGAAAGTGATGTTGACTCTTTTGATCTTGAATTTGAAGATGATGTGCAACCTGAAGTTGAAGATGGAGTAGAACCTGAAGTCCAAGATGGAGTGCAACATGAAGTTCAAGATGAAGTGCAAGCTGAAGTTGAACCTGAAAATCATCCTGAAGTTCATGATGCTAACCAAGTTGAAGTTCACCTTGCAGTTCAAGCTGAAGTTGAACCTGAAGTGCAAGTTCAAGTTGAAGATGCTAACCAAATTGTAGTTCAAGATCAAGTGGAAATACCAGCTTTTCAAGTTGTAGTGGGAAAGAGGGCAAGGAAACCTTCAGAAAGAATTACAAAACTGAAGATAAGAAAGATGTGGGAGGGAAAACAGGGCAGTAGTGATGACAATCCGTATGAGTTGGATTAACTTTTGGCTTATTGTACTGTTGTTAATGTTTTTGGCATCTTTGACTGACATCTTTTAACTTTGGAATCTTTTGGCACATCTTTTGAAAACTAGTTGGAATAGCTTAACTTTTTGCACATCTTTTGGGTGTAATGAATGTTTAACTATGTTATGTAAAACTTTTGACACATCTTTTGAAGTCAATGTTCCCTGGAATGTCTATAATATATTACCATCTTTTGCACATCTTTCTAATACCATTAGTATTATTTATAATTTATTACCAACTTTTAGAATATCAACTGTAATCACAATTCCTTTACAGTGTAATCATAATTCCATTACATTGTTTGAACAATTCAATTCCAATGATTCACAATAACATTACAAGTTTTGTACACTACCATTCCAATGATTCAATTACCATCTTTTGCACATCTTTCTAATACCATTTGTATTATTTATAATTTATTACCATCTTTTAGAATATCAACTGTAATCACAGTTCCTTTACAATGTAATCACAATTCCATTACATTGTTTGAACAATTCAATTCCAGTGATTAACAATAACATTACAAGTTTTGTACACTACCATTCCAATGATTCAATTACAATGATTCAATTCCATAACAATGTTTATTACTATCTTTTATACTACCAAGTTTAATACCCATTCCATTACAATGTACTATTCCATTCCAATGATAGAATATAACCTTTTTCATTGAAAACATCACAAAAGCATACATAATTTAGTCATACTACATCATAATACATAATTTAAAACAACATTTTGACATACAAGAGAAACAAGAAAATTAATGCAAGTCTATGGGTAAACAATTTCCAGTTGACTTTGTCAAGTTCTTGTTTATTCCTGTTCTTCTCTTCTTCAATCTTCATCCTGCATATGCTGATTTCATTCTCCAAGGTACAAATTTTCAAGGTAAGATTGCAGCTTTCTTCTGCTTTCATCCTGTAATGCCCTCTTCCATCTTTCCTCCCTTCATCCTCATCCAACCATTGCCAAAATTTACAGCTTGGACTTTTTCCATTCTTCAAGAAATTTATAAGAACATGTTAAATTGAAGGATGAAGAAGAAGTAAAAAAATATGAATTACCAGTGAGTTTTGACAAACTCTGAATTTCCTTCCAGGATTGTCTGGGGTTCTTGATGTCTTCACACGAGATGGCAAATCGCAATCACATGGATGATCCGGTTGCAATTCGTCTTGTCGTTTGGAAGAAAAGGATGAGGAAGAAGATGCCATCGATCGATCTAGGGTTTTAATTAATAAGCTGTCGTATCTCACCCTCTTATAATGTAAACACTTCTCAATGCCACGTAGGTGATGAGTATTGTAGCGTACAAGCCACGTAGATGCCACATCACCCAAAACCTACAATAGCCGGTAATGTTGGTTATTTTTGAACGGCTGAAACAAGTTAGTTGGGTAAATGAGTACAAAAAAAACAATATTACCCATATGTGAACATTTGAAATACTTAATTACCTTAAATATATATATATATATATATATATACATATATATATATATATATATATATATATATATATATATATTGGATAAGTTCTCTGATACAACTTCCACCAAAACGGTATTTTGAATTCTATATCTAATTATCTAATTATATATATATATATATATATATATATATATATATATATATATATATATATATATATACCGGTACCCAGTGGGTAACGGTCACGTAAAAATAAGAACTAGAATCGGAACCGCTTAAGGCAGTTCCGAGGCGGTTCTGGTTCCGAAAGCGGGTACCTATTTCCGCTGCTCATCCCCTAGGGGTTGACTATGATGAGACCTTTTCACCAGTAACTATGATTAATTCTATTAGGATAATGCTCGCCATAGCTGCCTTTCATGACTACGAAATTTGGCAAATTGATGTAAAAACCGCTTTATTTAATGGGAAGTTGGATGATGATGTTTACATGAGTCAGCCATAGGGTTTTATAGATTCAAAGTATCCAAATACAGTGTGTAAGCTTGAGAAATCAATCTATGGGTTGAAACAAGCTTCTCGCAGATGGAATATTTGCTTTAACGAGAAGGTCAAGGAGTATGGCTTCTCTAGAAGTGAAGATGAATCTTGTGTATATGTCAAAGCTAGTGGGAGTATAGTAACCTTCCTGATACTGTATGCGGATGACATACTTCTTATAGGAAACAACATTCCAACTTTGCAAGAGGTTAAGTCTTGTCTTGGAAAGTGTTTCGTTATGAAGGATCTAAGAGAGACTGCCTATATTATGGGGATAAGGATTTTGAGAGAGAGGAGTAAAATGCTAATTGGACTTAGTCAAAGTACATACCTGGAAAAGATGCTAAAATGTTTTAGCATGGAGAATTCCAAGAAAGGAGAATTGTCTATACAGAGTAATACCAAATTGAGCAAGACTCAGAGCCTGAGTATTGATGCAGAGATAGCAACAATAAGTAGAGTTCCATATGCTTCTACCATTGGATCTATCATGTATGCTATGACATGTACTCTTCCTGATGTGGCTTTTTCCTTGAGCATGGTCAGTCGTTATCATGTAAATCCAGGTAGAACTCATTGGATAGCAGTTAAGAATATTCTCAAGTACCTGCGAAGAACTAAGGACTGGGTCCTTGTGCTTGGTGGTAGTGATACATTGAGAGTAACTGGGTATAGTGACGCCAACTTTCAAACAGATAGAGATAACTTTCATTCTCAATATGGCTGGTGTTTACTCTAAATGGAGGAGCGGTAACCTAGAAATTTTCTAAACAAGAAACGACTGCTGATTCTACCTGTAAATCAGAGTACATAGCATCGAGTGAAGCATAAAAGGAGGAGATTTCGTTGAAAAATTCATCGGAGAACTTGGAGTTGTCCAACCATCAAGGAGCCAATGGAAATTTTCTATGATAAAGAAAGAGCAGTTGCCTTGACAAAGGAAGAAAGAGATCATGGCAGATCAAGACATATCGATAGAAAATACCATTTTATCAGACATAGAGTAGAAGAAGGTCGACTCATTGTAAAGATGGTGTCATGTAAAGAGAATATTGCCGATCCACTCACAAAGGGTCTGAGTAGGGTCAAGCACATTTAGCATGCTAGGAGCATTGGTGTGAAAGATGATATTAGCTTTAGTAGTTAGATAGTTAGTTGAAACTTGTAACAAAGTAAATGTAATTGACTTTTGGTGATTAAATAATAGAGAATTATTTATGAATTTGTTTACTACCTTTTGTCAAGTGTTTATTATTGTGTTTCATTTTGCAGTTTTTTACTTCCTAGATAGATAATTCAAAACTCCACAGTCGATCATACTTTTGGAAGTAAGTAGTGAATTAAAACTATCATGAATTGAATTGTAGATTGCCTTATGAGTTTTAGACATAGCAATGGTTTGCTGCAATATTCATGAGTACTTAGAAATGGAGATTTAAGTATTGGATTAACCAACGCTCAGAGAATTACTTCATGGAATTTATCACGAGCAATCATGCGATGATAATATCTTATAATCTTGAAACGAATATATATGAGTTATGGTTTAAAAATCAGCTGTGTATTTATGATATATAAACATATCAGTAACTTGATGTTATAAAATGTATTGTTGTGCATGTATTTATAAGTAAATGGTGCAAGCATATTAGTCAAAGTTTATCTATTCCTTTTGCCTTTATGGGAAAAGTTTATCTATTCCTTTTGCCTTTATGGGACAAGCGATATCTTTGGGTCCCTTGGTGATTTGGTTTGACTTATAGTATCGGGCACGTGCATGACTTAATTGATGTGTTTGATTGGAAGTTCTATGCCAATACAAATCATAAATCGGGAACCAAAGTATTGGACAATGATATTGATTCTATTCCATGTCTCATGGCTGAATGATATCTTGCAGAATGGAGGATTATATGATCACTTATCTTAGGACGCGTAACTAACTAGGTCATAGTTCGACAACGTCGTTTGGTGGCTATATATTGTTGATCAATTTGGAAGTTATATTGGCAGTTATAGTTACACACTTATCCTAGTGGGAGACTATTGGATTAGGTGTCTAAGACCATAACTATAACTGTTATAAGCTTGGATTGATAGTAGCACAGTCCTTTTGAGTTGCCCTAAAACCTAGCAATTGGACAACGTTATTTTGGAGAGAGATGATGATTTATTATTTGATTAATAAATTGAAATAAATAATTTGTTAATATATTATGGAAATAATATATTAATTAGAATTTATATTATTTAATTAATATTTAATCATAAATTAATTTGGTGATTAAAAGAATTAACTGAAGTGCAGGGACTGAAGTGCAATTGTTCAATAGTTGAGCAAGAGGCATTCTAGAACCCTCCATGAGGCTATGGACGGTTTTAAGGAGCCTTAGGGTTTCTAGAATTATCCTTAATGGATAGTTAGGAAGCAAGATAATTACCCGGTTTAGGGTAATATTATTATATTGGGTTTTGGCTTATCTAGGGTTTCCTGATTGCACAATAAAAAGGCCCCTAATGCTATGAATTTCAGCACTCCTAACCCTAGAAGAGATCAGGCTGAAATCACCTTCTCTCTCCATAATCCTAAGTTGCTAGTCTTAGGTGTGAACCATCAGAGGCACGACGCTTGTGGTGCTAGCTGCCAAAAGATTTAAAGAAGGATTCAAGGTTGTTTGTAATAACAATATTCAATGTATGTTTCTTATTCTATTGAATTCGATTTTCATAAGAGAAGTTTTATAGGATGATAGTTCATACTATGTTGCCTATATGTGAAAAAATAGATCCTTAATAGGTTGCATGTGATGGGTTTTTGTTCATAAGACATCCTATGTTCTCATACAAACCCTAATGCTTGGATCTAGGTTTCTCTATTGTACATGCTTTGAATCCAAGACTATAAACCCTAATTCTAGCATGCAAGTAATCATATTAACATGTAATTAGGTTTAAGAACATACCTTGATTGTTATGTAGCAATAACAATCCCAATTCCTCCTTGTATTGACTTTGGAATGCTTAGAGTCACAAGTGTCACTCCTCTAATGGCTTACAAACACCATAAGAAAATGGAGAAGGTATAAAGAGAGAGGTGAGAGGTTAGAATTCGTAT